TTCATCTCCCAAGTGTACCTAAATGCTTATCCTCCCGACCGAACCCGTCGCAAGCGTGTCCAAAACTTTCGTAGCTCTCTAGGAAGGTCAACAAAAGCTGCAGTGACGTCACACCAAATCTGTAGTGAACGTAAGTGCGTGCAGGTTTCCCCTTCAGGTTCATCACAGCCCACCCCTTCACTTTGATACCAATGTAAGGTTCTGACTTTGCGTCCTGTCCCAAGTCGTGCTGCCCCCTCCCCTATTTGTGTGGGGCTGTGTTTGCAAAAACTACCCTCGTAGGTGACTATGAGAGTGGCCGTCCACTCACCCCGTTTTGTGCGCAGGCCTGTTGTAGTGAGGGGAGGGACCTTAGAAGGCCCGCAAAGCATCGCGGCTGCTGCAAGCTTGTTTTGCTGATGCTTGCACGTGTGTGCTAGAAAGCCTGCGAGAGCAGATAATAATCAGCACGACGTGCGTCACAGCTTTGTGTGGCCATGTGACGAAGCTACACAGCTACGTCACAACACAATTAGGGGCCCAGAAACCAAAGCTGAAAATGACCCACATAGAAAAGACGATAATATTTGATTTAGCGAGAATAAATTTTGATACGTGTATTATGCTTCTTGAAGCTATAAGAAACGCTTACAGCAAAGAACGCGCAAGCCACCAAAAATGGTGGCACCACCCCTGTAAGGGTTAACTGATTAGATTCCAAGAGTAGGCGAATGCGCCAGGGGAAGAGAGAAAGTTAGATGGGCAGATGAGATTAAGAAGTTTGGAGGTATAACATGGCAGTCCCAAGCACATGACCGGACCGGGTTGATTGGCGGAACATAAGAAAGGCCTTTGCCCTGCAATACGCGTAATAAAGCTCATAATGACGAAGGCTCATAATGACAAATCAGCGATTATTTTCTTAGAGCAGCCATAAATCCATTTGCGCTATTTGCTCATCAGAGGTTAAGTATTTTTTGAACAAAGAAGTGTTTTGTGTTGGGATTCCCCAAAACTTCACTGACGTAATTTATCACGGATATATGCCCGTAAAATGCACGTTACAAAAAAACTAGAAGAAAAAGTTTTCGCGATTTGAATGGCCCGGGAGCCCAAGCAACGACCTCTTGGTTCTCGGCGATACGAATCGAGCGCTAAAACCATTGAGTCACTGACACTCATGCATAAGGCTCCACAAGTGCGCCGTATATGTCACATTGTTTGCCTTTCCCAGCGACGTTAGATCACGGGAAATGTTGTTGCCATCTGAGATCCGTGAACTGAAGTACTGTCTCATAACCGTGACCTCCGAGATTTGCTCCTGCAGCGTACTGTCGCTTCCCTGCTCACCTTGTGTACACGACATGCGTCATGTTTAACTTGGCGTTTCCAGCCCTGCCGTATGGTTGCCTTTTTGTTTCACTCTTTCACATTCCGTGGGATGGTGACCTTAGCCCAAGCTCAGCGCACAATCAGTGACACTCTAGGGAATTTCACACCGCTTGCTCTGATCACGCTCTCCCCGCTCGAATGGAACGGCCTGAGTACCGACGCTTTCCTAGAGCTAGTCTAGGAGGCCACTTCACGACAATAACAAGCGCCGACAATGAGCGCTTTGGTAGTTTCAGCCTTCGGTGCCATGGGAAGCACAATTAACGCTTTCCAGCATTTGCAGATCAAGGCATGAAAACTTCCCCTCGCATTAGTCAACCGTTGTGTACACAGTCGTGGGTGACCCTATTACTGGGAAGCGCGCACCGTGGCGTTTTCGTCTCAACTGACGACGTGTTGAAAGACTACTCATTGAGTACCATTGTTATGTGCTTGCTGATGACATCTTTGCGCTGAATTCAACGCATGCTGTGTCCAGGTGTATAGCGACTATTCGTTAGCTGCCACAAGGATTACATCATGATCTTTGGCCTTAGCCGCGAGGATGGAGATGTGCCACTCAGCGTCCCCGTCGGTGCATCCACGTGCAAGGGGTGGTAAGAGAAAGAGCGCAAGCTTTCATACACTAAGGAACAATAAACGATCAACCTTACATACTCATCCGAAAACATTGGTTACTTTTGTGGTATACCGATCTGTGTGACGGAGGAATCAACCATGCTATTTATGCATTGTTTCCATAAGCAAAGAACTGATTACAACGAAGGATACTAGATTGAAGTTGAGGTGTACACTTCGCGCACTGCGACTGGCACGCCGCCGCGCGGCCGTCAGAGCAGGCAGTCGTTGAGAGCCCGAGCAGAACCAAACGCTCTCCCAACGCCCGTTAGCACCTAATTTATTGGAATAATCAAATGCTGAGTAGTCGATTGTACCAACAAGTACACTTCGAGTCCTGCGGGAACGAAGCTTTACAGATTCTTGACTCGTCTCTGCTTTATTGGGCCGCGAAATAAGGGATTTACGGCTGGGCGACGTAAAAGCGTTTGGGTCTCGCTCCCTGTGCCCTCTCGCGTTCTACCACTGCATCCTTGAATTGGTCTGAGACACCACCTCCACAGGTGCAATGTTCCGGCTGTCATAGAGCTGGTGAAAAAAGAAGCATATGCAAGGCATATTTATTCAGCTCACAGCTGATGGATTGTTTTATTGGACCATTAGTAAATATTAACTCGTCGTCTACCCTTTGCGGTTTTGTGGATTGCAGCAAAAGGTCAATTAGTGCTTTGCTGGGTTGAAAGAACCATCAATTAAGGGGCAGTCTGAATTACATAGCATGTTACCGTAAACCCAACTAGCCGCCTAGCCGTGTTATGTGCACTCGATAAGGGATAAAACTAAGACATTGGTTAGTTAGTTCACCCTTATTAAACTGGCGCAACCTACCTCGAGGGATCAGCCATGAAATGGGCAGTGCCTGGTTGTATAAATTAATTTGTTTATCAATTCAAAATGTTTAGCAATAGATCGTTTCCGAAGTGACTAATTAGCTTGCTTTACGAAACAAAAACCGACAGGCCGGCGCTGAACACGCAGCACTGTCGCAGTGAAAGCTAGGTGAGCGGCCTTTAAGAGCCTTTTTTTCAACTATTTGGGTAGCTGCTGCAAGCACACTTGCCAGGGTACCCACAACGTCATTAATAATTGTGTAGTAGGCCCGCATTCACTATGGCATCCTTCTTCATTCTTCGGAGAAGCGTGGTGCCTGCTGTACACTTGCAAGAAACTTTGTGCCATTTTTGTGGTGCTGTGGCTCACGACGATGAAGAATTATGCCAGAAGCTTTTGTAATCCCCACAATCCCCCACAATGGATATGCGCTACAGCTAATAGGTGAACTAGATCAACCTTTTTCTATAGGGTTAAAGCATTCGACGACCCACGCGTTGCGCAATTTGCATTGTGACACCTGGTTGTTCCTTTGCCGGTCTATAACGCTTTATTACTCATAATAACGTGATTACTTTCCCGACATCAAGCCTTCCCAGGGCCAATTTGAAAGGGAGTTCCAAACACCTACGAGGCTCAGTAGTAGAATACTAGGTTGGCACGCTGGGCACCCTGTTCGATTCCCAATGTGTTGTTCTTGGTGATTTTTATTTGCAGACTTCTTCGGACTACATCGTGCACGTGACGCTTGTTGTGATTTTATAACAGCTTTCGCTGTAAAAAAGACTGATGTTGTTGAAGAGTAAGCTTGGTTTGACAACCTTAGCATTGAACTCGTTTCGTTTTGCGTCGTAAATCGCAAACGGCATCGCAAACGCTCGAGTGGCTAAAACCCAGTTGCTGTAGCCCCAAATGAAAGAACCACCAGAACCACCAACAAGTGAATCCCATCCTTCGCAGTGGTTCATCTAGGAGCCTATGTCTTTCATTGGTAAGCAATATCCATCTCGGGAAAAAATATGCAGGGCGTAGAGTAGCAGACCTACAGGATGAAAAAAAAACGAAGCTTTGCGATTGCGGTAGCTACGAATCTGCATTCTTTTGTGAATCAGCATGATAAACAATGCAGGAGGTTGTGAATTAGAGAAATGTGGTCGTGGCCGAAGTGACCGTGCCGTCGTCGCCACTTAATTTGCAAAGTGAAGCGACAGACGAAACGGGGCTATGGCGCCTTTCTGGCTGAAATCATAGAGCGTTCTCTTTTTCGCCCGTGCCTCAAGCTCTTAGCTGAGCGAGTGCCGAAGTAAAGACCATGATAATGATACGCGATGATGATGCCGCGACTTTTTCGAACAAAGCGCTTCGCGAGAGCCGGTGACTGAAAATCACCGTGGCACGAAGCCGCAGCAAACAAGTACGCCGCCTAGCCACCCACCATGGTTTCCACGCTGCATGGAGTGGCCGTGGAACCATCGATATTTCTAAATGCTCTGAGTATTTCGCAAGTACGCGGATAGTGGGCACGCACCAATAATAATCTAACTGTGAAAGAATGACAGGTTACAGCGACAGTTATGGAGTATAGCATCTTGCTTTACGCACACCTGACGCACGCATTTAGCCGTCCTACTGACGACGAGCAGCAAGGCGCTCACTAGCGCAGAAAACGTGGCCTCTTTCGTGCAGGTTTTCCGTTTATTCATAGAGACATTGAAGAAGAATGTCTCTCTACGATATTGTTAAATCTTGCTCGAATCGCTAAAGCGCCGGCCGCTTGTGCCACCATAGCTATCAAAGCAATAGGCGCAGCTGCCTACTGAGACTCTCAACGTTGCGCGCCCGCCGCACCACAACTGGCGCAGCGAGCGTATACGGTGCCTCGATGGAGGCGCGCTCACATCGAGGCACCCTAGGCGCGCGGCTTTTGAGGCACTCCCTATAGGTACCAAGCGAAGTGTTCACTCCACAAAATCCACTTTCATGACTGTTCTATGTTTCGTTTTTTTTCTGCATCATTTGTCTCGTTATCATTCTTTCTGTCTCCGTGCGTGGACTCAATTTGCCGTTGCTCATTGAAAAATGAGTTAGTTCCTTAGAAACGGAGGAGTCGGAAGGGAAAATTAATGTGTGCGCGTGTCTCTCCCCCTACTCCCCTGCACCCTTATTTTCGTTCTTCTCAGGTACCCAGTGCCGAGCCGCAATGTTCCAAACTGAATCGCCGAAAAAGTGGCGACGATGGCAGATTCAAGACCAAGGTCAACACACCATCCGCCGGTAAGCCTCGATTAACACGCAGGTTGGTGTATAGAAATTTGTGCGCGTCTCAGTGCTTAAAATTGCGGGCAATAAGGAGGGGCGAGGAGGAAGTTTTACGGAGCGCAGTGCTTTTCTGCGCGAAACCCTTCTGCTTTCGCCGAGCACCCGTGAAGGCGCAGTTCGATTGTGGCATACTGTCAACGGAATGATTTATCTGCGTCTGTGCTCACACGATTTATTGGTAGTAGCAGTAACAAAGCGCCAACTCGAGTAAACTTTGCCAGAAAACTGTAGCTTTTTTTTTCATTGAGCATGGTTACCATTGAGGGCCTGCGATAAAAACCAATGTGTTGACAAATCAGTCTGGAAACCTAAAACTGATGATTTCATTGCTTATACGATGCTTACTCGGAAGTGCGACCTTCAGTCTCACGTCACATGGGAACGCTGTGTGAAAATTCACTTTTCCGCCTCAAGTAACAAATTTCCGATTATTCTATTACAGCTTTACCTTTCTAGTTCGCCTCTTGGTAGACATCCAAAATAAAAGAAAAATGAAAAAACAAGCGAAAACGCTTCCAAACTGTAATAGTGGATAGTCATGACTCTACACTGACACGCGTTGTCTGCGTATACTGAAATTCATTTAAGACATCGCAGACACGGAACAGCTCATGCCTGCTGTTGTCATCACGAAGATGCAATAAGTGGTTGACCCGTTTACAGTAACTGTATACATTTGGGGAACACCTAATGCTACCTGCGCACAGTGCAAAACGTCAGCGTGTAAAGAATTAAGAAACAGCCGACTGCGGAACACACTAGAAATAGTGACGCAACGCTGGCTGCGTATACACGACAGAAAATTATTGAAGGGCGCTTCTGACACCTCCAACACCTCTAACAGGCTTTGCAAGTGGGATGCATAGTCTGAGACAATCCCAGTGCGAGTAAATGATAAAGAAAGACCCGAGGGGAGACCCAAATAATTCCTTGCATAAAATTTTACTCTATGTCAAGTTTCATTAACCAGTATGTTTTTTTTTCAAGCTTTTAAGTGACGTCGCAGACTTTTGATAGCGGAACCTCTTTGAGAGCTGGATAAATGTCATCATAGAGTCGCCTACAAGCCTATCTGACCTACAGCCTATAATCAGTTACTATAACCGTAGACAACATGGAGGCCTTTCTGGACCAGTATCGCACACTATGAAAACAAGCGGGGAAGCTCATGTAACAGCGTATAAGATTGCCCGAATGGAAAGAATTGACAAAGCGCTCCTCTGTTATTGTATCAACCGACCCAGGTCAGCCTTCTAATGTGCCCAAATACTCCATCCACGAATCTGCCGTGGATATTCCTAAATCCCCAGTATTCCCCACTGATTCAATAATAACAGAAAAATTGTGCATGAGTATTATCGCATGTGCTATAGAGATCGGGAAAATCTACTCACCACTGGTTCACTAAAAATGAAGGAAACACACGGGCAGCAAACACCACGTAACATTTCTGAACTGACGTAACCGATAATTGGGAAATACTTCACTGAAACATCGGGATTAGCCCAGTGTTACCGGAGCCACACGTTTCAGGTTCGCTATTTAGCCGTCTGGGTGGCGAACTGAAACAGCGATATTTCTAAACAATTCTGTTCAGGGCCACATAGTCTGAAACGATGCGAGGGAGTGAACAGTGCTTGGCTGTTAACTGTTTCAAAACTATTCAGATTACAATTAAAATGGCGTATCTTGCGCGGATTGCAGAGTGATGGGTGCCTGCATATATTCTAGTGTTTACTTGGCGCAAAGGATGGCTATCGGTAATGGAAATTCTATGAGACACCTCGAGAATGCTTGCTTAGTCAAAGCAGTAACCTAAATAGAATTACGTGGTGCTGGTGAGCCTATTGTCACATTGGCTACTTCATTATTTGTTTCGAAATGTCATGAAACTCTTTTGTTGAAATGCGAAGCGACCTCTGACGTTTGAAAATTTCATCTACAAAACAATTACCGCCACTCTAGTGTTAGGAAGCTGGAGCAAGGCTCGTTCAAGTTAATATGGACGAGATTGGGCCTTTTTTATCTTCCCTCACTTTCGAAACTTGAAGCCGCATTGTACTCTTAGAGATGTTGGCTCAAAATATGCTCGAGTGGTCTCGCTTAAAACCAAGGTCGTAAAAGGTGATAAAAAAATGGGTGAGTGCGTACAAGTTAAGTTGATATAAGAGTTGGTCTAAAGCAATAAAGTATAAATTACTTTGTCACAACCACTAAGAGCTGTTTCAACGATCATTACAGCTGCGTGCGGAAGAATCGTCACCGTTGAATTTTTTTCTGTTCATCCTCGTTGTAGTGGAAAAGCCGGAAGAAGTACAGAAAGTATTCCCTCATTCGTTAACTAATACGAGCATTTGATGGTATAGCAGCATCAATAAACTAGTTGCTCAGTGATAATTAAGAGCATTAAGATAGTGAGGAGAAAAACGGCAGGATGTAGTTACTGTGTCGGCTCGGGTAACGTTTGGACCCTCTCACAGAGGGCGCTTGCTAAATCTCCCGTTTTATCCCTGCACAAAGCATCGCACGAGAGACGTGGTGCATTCTTTTTTTCCTGGTTCTGCAGAAGACGCCGAACCAGCGAGCGAGCCGGTGGACGTGGACGCGAGCCTGGCGACGCTAACGCGCTTAGCGCACAACCCCGAGTGCCTGGACACCATCCTTTTCGGTCTTCAGCGTCACCTGGCGGCCATCATTGAGCTCACACTGCTCGTGGACGGCGACCGGCTCCAGCGTCCACTCGCGGCGCTCTTCAACCGCATCCTATTGGTGAGTGAGGAACGTTCATTGTGGCCTTGCTTACCACCTCCATATATATACACGTGTATCGGCCTTACAATAGCTACATCGCATTCACTGAGCCTTATCGAAACTGCAAATAACGGCTGACCAAGACTCGTTTCATCGAACATACAAGAAGGCAAAAGGGTGTTAAAAGGGTGTGTGGTTCGTCCTTTTGGGGACTAATGAGGCCGCCACAACCAGTAATCCCTTTAAGGACTAACGGCACCGGGTCTATCAGTTAGTCCCCGCAGATAAGCTCAAGAGACTAACATTTAGTCCTCACATTTACACCTTAGTGAGTAACCGTTAGTCCCACAATCCACCTCAAAGGACTAACATTTAGTCCTGAAGTTTGCACCTTATAGGGCAACTGTTAATCCCCACATTTACACCTTACCGGGCAACCGTTAGTCCTCACAGTTGCACCTTGCGCACGAACGGTTGATCCACTCAAATACTCCAATCGGGTGAATTTTTTGTCCCCAGTTCAAACATTGTTTTTTTGTTTATTTTCCGCCAGGCCTAATACTTTTTTCGCCTGTTTTTCTGCGCAGTGAGCAACAAATTGCGCAGTAAAGAACACACAAAAAAGTAGTTAGCCACCTATGTGTAACTGCTTTCGCAGTCACGGCAACAACAAAAGACAAAAGTGAGACATCGAAATCTTTTATTTTTCTACATACACATGAAGTTTCTCCATTCTTCTAAGTGAATTCATGGTGAAGTGTACAAGTTCAGTCTCGTTGTCAAATCTTGTTCACTCCTTGGGGAGCTCCTCGGACGGAAGCGACAGATGATAGGCATTGCAGACGCCAGCGCACGCAGTTTTCTGCCTGTTGTGTTCCCACGGCTGCACGTACAATATAGTAAAAATAGTTAGACACACGTGACAGAAGATAAAGATGCACGCATATGACAAGTACGTGCACGTTATATAAAAACAAGCGTTAAAATATGACACACAAATAGCTTTACCTTCACATGTCACACAGTCCTTCTGAAGTTGCTCTGATGAAAGAGATGGATGACAGGCATCGCAGACGCCAGCGCACACAGTCTTCAGCACGGTGCATGCCCACGGCTGCACAATAAGTATGTAAAATTGTGAGTCACACGTGACAGAGGATGAATACAAATGCATAAGAGAAATACGTGCAAGGTGAAATGAAAACATACGTGAGATATGACATGCTAATAATTTCACCGTGATGTCACACATCGTCAAAGACTCATTTAGATCCCCGTAGCGCAACAGCTTAGGAGCACCGGCCGCAGCCACAACTCCGTGACCCACCGTGCCGCTAACAAGTCAGCGAGTCCTAAGCGAGCAACGTCGTTCAGCTCGAGCAAATGAACGCGAGACCAAGCACAGCGCTGCACGCGGAGTGTCTGCCGCCAGCGAACTTCGAACAGGAGAGCGAGCGTACGCTTGGCCGCCGCCACGAACAGCGCCGAGCTGGTTTGGAGCTAGCGCCGAAGAAATGGACGGTAATGCGGCCCTTCTCCACAAACTCGAGCGAGTGCAGCGCGCAAACGCGAGTCTGCCCCTGCGGCCAACAGACGGCGCAGGGCTGCTTGCGACCGACTGACGGGAAAGACAACTGTAATGGCGACCAATTTTCAGTGAGTTCCGATGCGAGCGAAAGCCCCGCCAACCCGTGCTGGTGCACTTACAGCGTGCGACATACTACAACCAGGCTCTTTACGAAAACCCGCTACGTGTTTTCGACGACTCCCAACACAGCGACGAGGTCTCAGCCCAATATCGTCAGCCCGGAGCTCATCGCGGCGGCGAAGACAGGCGAGCACTCGATGAGCGAGCGTATGGGAGGCCGACGGCAATGGCGGCCAATTTCCAGGTGGTCGCAAAGCACATGCGAACTGCAGACGCCGAAGCTGACCTTCACGATGCATTTCGTGCATGCGATATTCAACACGACCAAGCCCGTTGCCGGCAAGCGTGATCCATATCGCACACGCGACAAGTAGAGTCGAGTAAAGAATGATAACCTACTTGCCTTAGAATGCAGCGCTGTTTTGTGCCCTGAGTTGGACTGAAGTATAAATCCGATAGGCCTGTTGTCTTCTCGGCCACCATATCGGCCACCCCAACTGTTGTTATCGTGTGTTGGTCGTGACCAACGTTGATTGATTGATAAGTGGGGTTTAACGTCCCAAAACCACCATAAATGATTATGAGAGACGCCGTAGTGGAGGGCTCCGGAAATTTTGACCACCTGGGGTTTTTTAACGTGCACCCAAATCTGAGCACATGGGCCTACAACATTTCCGCCTCCATGTGACCAACGTTACTGGAAGTAACGTTGGTCGTGAATACCTTGAAGCCAGAGATATACAGCGCGGCGTGGTGACGTGTCGAGGCTTGCTCCAGACTTCATGGGTACAGTGAAACGCAAAAGCAGCAGCCCACCCTCAGCCAAGCGTACACACAAGCACCACGTCGTAATTCTTAGATCGTCGAATCCAGGTGGCCGTGGCCGAGCACTCCGAGCGCGACGCAACGCGAAGTGTCGCCGGCAAAATACGGGGAAAGACTGAGCCAGCAGAGGAGGAGAAGGGAGGAGAAGCAGGGATGGTCACCTTGGCAACAATTTTCGCGCTGCCTGCAATCCGCGGGCGGTTCATACCTTTGGCTGCTTCTGCTGAAAAACATTTATTTACAGATGTTATTTACAGGGAGGGTGGGAACGGTCCTTAAGGGGCCGCCCCGTACAAACACTAGGTGGGCTCCCTCTTACGGGAGCCCATTGGCGTTGGCCGCGGCCCGGGCACGCTCGACCAGGGCCCGTTGGGCCGTCAGGTCAGAGCAGCCGAGCAGGGCTGCCTCCCAGTCCTCCCGCGAAGGGTTGGGTAGTGGGGTAACGTTTGGGGTTTTTTGGCATGCCCACACCATGTGGAAAATGTCAGAGGATTTTTCCTCACAATGCGGGCACTTCCCCGTGCATGCGGGGTCAAAGTGTTTTATGATTGCCGGGCACAATAGAGTTTTAGTATAAAGGCGAAGGAGGATTCGCTCCTCCGCCTTCGTGAGGCCCTTACAGGGTTTTGGATAGACGTTATGGCCGGATTGATAAAATTGTGTGATCTCCTTAAAGGTGTAGGCAGGATTAGGTTCGAGTTCCGGATCGGTAGGGGACGAGGATGGTGCCCGGAGAGTGAGCGCGCGGGCAGCGGCATCGGCCGTCTCATTACCACCGAGGCCCGTGTGAGCCGGAGCCCATATGATCGTTCGGTGCGCGGGGGCACCTAGGTAGCTGCTGTTCTGCAATATTTTATGAGCACGGTACGGAATGTATCCCTGTTCAATATTGCGACAGGCACCCCTTGAGTCGGTGATGATGACCCTCGAGTCCTGATCTGCGGCGGCTAGTGCGATGGCGATCTCCTCCGCGTGCGTAATGTTATGTGCACGGAATGTGAGTCCGTTTTGGTGGACGACCGCAGCCGTATACCAACCACCGTGGTGCGGGCCGGAGGCGTCCGCGTAGAATACCCCGAATTTGCGGCCGTAGTGTCGAGCCAAGGCTTCCACCCGCGCGAGGCGTCGGCCAGTGTAGTCGTCTCGGGTCATGTTAGCCGGAAGAGGGCGCACGTGCAAGGAGTATCGCCACACCCAGAGCTGAGTGGTAGAGGTCGGACGTGTTTTTGGAGAGCTCCGGAATGACAGCTACAGATAAGTGTTTTTGCATGTTTCCAGCTTGCCTCTATATGTAGCGTTATGAGAACGTAAGGCGCTAGCGTAAGGCTTGATTAGGTCTAGTACGGTGTACGGTTTTTTTTATTAGTATTTTGTACTGTGTCTTTTTTTCTCCAGCCACCACGTGGCTGAAGCCTGCGCGTAGACCGACCACGTGCATGCGCAGGTGCTGTGAAGTGTAGCGTATTTATTTATTATTGTGGTTCTTTTTGGCTTAGACCAGTGTATTTTAGTACAGTTTTCTAACACGTGGGCATCGGTAAACTGAGCTAGCCATGGTCAAAAAGACCGTAAAGTGTTCCGAGTGCGGGGTAGGGCGGAAGGTGGAAATTAGTGCGGAGGAGAAAGCAGAAGATGACGCCAAGTGTAGACAGTGCGAGTTCGAGGAGAAAATGAAAAATATGATGGCGGTCCAGAGTGGGCTCATGGAGAAAATCGCAGCGCTGGAGAATGCATTGGCGAAGGAGCGAGAGAAAACGTCAGCCATGGAAGACAGGCTCCGGGCAGCCGAGAAGGGCCTATCGAAGGTCGTGAAAGGGAACGAAGACGCAGGTGACGGCGGAAGCATTATGGCGACGACCCCCCGTGCGGGAGAGATGAAGGAAACAGGCATGACAAAGGCAGATACATTGGCCACAGGGCCCAGCTACCGGGAAGTAGTTTTGAGGGAGGGAGGGAGCAAACCAGCAGCCGTGACTCACGCTAGTCACCTAGTCAGCAGCCAGGTGCAGGTTTCAGAAGGAATGTCTGAACAGGTCATCATCGCCGGTGACTCAAATTTGGTCCGATGCGCAGCGGCAATCAAAGAAAGGGTGAAAGGCGACAAGAGAGTTGCGATAGGGACGTTCCCAGGACAAACGCTGGAGACAGTAATGAGTCAAGCGGGTGAACAACTCGCAGCTAAGGCTGGCAGTCGTAACCTCGTTGTAATTGCGGGAGGGTTAAATGACGTCCTGAAAAAAGAATCGTCAGGACTAGCGACGGCCTTGGCGAGAGGGGTGGATGACATGGGCACCGTGTCCCCCCAGGTGCAAATTGTAGTATGCACAGTACCGGAAGTACCGGTGCGCAACGTCAACCTGCGAAGAGCGGTTGTCGACGCAAACAAGGAGATATGGCGGATTAGTCGAGAGAAGGGTTTCGAGGTAGTGGATTTAAACAGGGAAGTGCACAGGTGGGGTGGATTCCAAAGAGACAGGATTCATTTCGATAAGAGGCTTGGACACGAGGTGGGCTGGCGACTGGCAGGACGCGCAGTAGCTTTTTT